AACCACAATACTGATAAGTGATTAATAAAAGTCAAAAGACCAAAGAGGTCACCTTAATACCAAAAAAAAAAAAAAGATATAGAAACAATAGCTGAATTGGCTGATGCTATAGACCGATCTCTAGATAATATAACAATATATAGAACTATTTTATCAAATCAAATTAAAAGATCAACAAAATCAATTTGACATAAATACACTAACCTACAACAAGATCTGGTAAATATAAAGTGGGATCATGATATGTATATGCAGAAGCGGGATCAGGCATTGCAGCAATTAGAAAATAAACAGACATTTAATAAATATTGGTGAGACTGAATATGTGATAGATATATAAAATAGAAGAATAAAACTAAGAATAAGCATATACAAATACAAAACTGTTGAAATGAAAGAGCTCTTGATGAATTTTGGTGAGATCAACTATATGATTAATATAAAAAATGAAAGAATAAAACTAAAGATGAATGCCAAATAATTCTGAATTAAAATCAGAATATTTTAAATTTAAATCAACAAATTTTGGCACTTCATAATAATCCACCAAATCAAATAAACATGGCTAATGCTAGATGTTTATCAGTATTAAAATTAATGGCTCCTGCTCTTGCAAAATTTCCATCTTATATGAGCCAAAAACCATCTGATGATTATTTAAATAAAGTTATTCAATCATAGACATATCTTAAAGAGCATATGACAGTTCTTAAGAATACAAATGCAGAAGATTTTAACAATGTGGTCAAGTGTAATATTTTAAAATCTATGATGAGTAGAAAATATGTTCCAGTACTAGCAAATAATAATCTTGTAGTAGAAAATCCAGCTATAAATTCTCCAGATACATTACAGGCTTGGATGAGAGCAAAATATTAGTAAAAACTGTTAGAAATCAACAATTAACTATTCAAAAATTGACTCAAGAAAGATATCAGCCCTATGATACTTCTGATACTTATGAAGCCAGAATTTGATCACTATTATTAGGAGTAGCAAACAATGATGCACAAGTTTGGGATTTCTTAAAAGTTATTTAACAGATGATTTTTATACTTGGATAAGAATTGTTAATCCTGCAAGCATTAATGCATTTTTCACTGAACTAAAAAATATGTAGCTAGAGCATAAGCAAAATTTAAGTGAAAGGATTCCAGAGAAATCAAGTCAAATTGCCAATCAAGTTCAAGCCTTACCTAGTATAAATCTAGTATCCTATTCTTTACCACTAGTTACCTCAGTTCCTCAACAGCAAAAGCATACAATTTCTTTAGAAGATATGTAAAAAGCAATCCAGAATATACTAGTGCAACAAAAAACTGAAAACCAGACATTAGTAAAGAAAGTTACAAAATTAGAATCTCAAATGGCTAAGCAAACTGCTTCTCAAACTGTTGAACCAGTTAGACAGCCAAGGAGTCCACCACCTTCATTACAAACAGAAAAAGGTATAGAAAATTATCATTTATTACAATACTTAAATAATTTAGGTATATTTAGTACAGAAGATTTAGAGATAAATTATCCTATAAAGCCTTTTCAAAAACCTTATTTAGAATGAATATATTCATCAAACCAAAATACTAGAATAGATAGAATAGAATTGAAAGTAGATAAAATCAGTCAAATGACATCTCAATTTGAGAAAATGATAATTAAAAATCAATTCAAAAAACCTGTAGCTAAATCAAATTTAACATATCGATACTTTCCTTCTCTAATACCTTCCCAATCCCAATATGCATCTTCCAATTTAGATGATAATAAGGATGCTAAAGGTAAATATAATGATGAAGAGAATAGATAGCATGCTCCATCTCAGTTAGAAAAAAAAAACAAGTACTGGTAAATAAAAAAATGCTTTTAGAACTTAGTCAGCCTGAAACATATGATGAACTATTATCAAAGCTTTCACTAGCAATGCATAAAATGTATCAGTTTCATATAATTCAGAAAAAAGAATCAAAATCAGATGAATGGTTTTTGTCATTGCAATATTTGCATTGTAATATAAATGATCTATTGATTACTAATTTCTTTTTAGATAGCACAAGTGAATTTGAAAGAGTGAATAATGCAACAATTAACGTTCTGAGATAGAAAGCTGATAAGCCTTCTGACTTTGCTATAAAGGGCAATTCTAAACATATATCTGAATCATTAGGATGGTATACAGATATGCCAATTAGTGTAAAGGACAAAGATGATAAGAGTGATATATCTACTGGAAATTTTGCTTGTATTAATAATAATGAACTCGAACCAATGTTATATTTAGATATGACATGGATTTAAAAAGTTCAAGGTATTATTGATCTAAATAAAAATTAATTTTAAATTAAGTTATATGGGAAGACTTATACTATCCCAACTTTTAGCAAGGCTACAGAGGTTAATGAACTAGAGCAACAAGTTTCAGATATATATAATGGTGAAAATTTAAAAAAAAATATGACTTACTTGAAAAGTGACTTATAAAAACTAAAGAGTAACTTGATATGGCTTTAAATGCAGGTAGAGTTCTTGCAAAAAGATGCTCTTAGCTTACTGAGCCAAAGATGGGCATATAGAAGCAAATCTTTTAGTATCTTTTATTAATTTTTCAAGATCTGCTTTTCTTCTAAATGTATCGAACAAAGTTTGTGCACACTGTGATTCTTTAAACTTATCTATAGAAGAGGTATTTTTTTCTATTGCAGAGCTATTACTCTTCAAGCCTACTATATGTGAATCTGATAAAACTTTTCTTTTTTGACTAATCTTTTTTGTCGATATTTCCTTAGCTAGAATCTTCTTAGTTTGAGACTTATCTAATATAAGACCTTCATTTGAATCAGGTAGTAATAAGAAATCATTTTAATTATCAAGACCTTGTTGGAAATATTCATTATGTTCTCATATCTCATATATATGATGGGCACCAATATGAAATTTTTCAGCTATTTTTTTTAATATATTTGGAATTTTTTCTCTCGAATCTCTAATCTTCTTAATATCAGACTTTGATAATCAGGTTGCATTAGATCAATAAAAGGTTTGATGAAGACAATTGACTATTTTTAAGTTAGAATATTATAAAAAAAAAAAGTATCAATATTTTTCAAAGCATATATTACTATAATGTCAATATATATCAATAAGTATTGTTTCTTTTTTAGTAAGCATCTAATATATATCAATAAATATTGTTTTTTTTTAGTAGGCATCAGTATGTATTGTTTCCTTTTGGTAGTATTGAAACATATTAATAAATTTCATATATAAAGGTATCAGTATCTATTAATTTTCTTGTATAAGTATTGATTTTTTAATGATTTATATTTATATTTACTTAGCTGAAGTATGTCTTAAATTTATACTTTATCAAATATAGGTGAATGTTGAAAACTCAGGAGTATACCATCTAATTAATATCCACCTAGCCAAGCAGAACTTGAAAACCAGCTTGTTTGTACAAATCAAGATTGAGAAATTGCTATAAAGTGTAGCAATCGACTTTCTAATAAATGTTTTGTCTTGGATAAAGACAATAAGCATATACAATATGATCTAAAACAATTTAATAAAAATAAAGAGTAATTCTCTAAGCATACTTTCCAGCTTATAGATGAGGTTAAACGATTGTGCTCAGAGTTAGATAATCTAACATCTCAGATTACTCGCAAAGATATTTCTCTTAAAGAATCTAAGATTAAGATAAAAAATCTTTTATCTAAGATAAAAATATTAAAAATGAAACTATCTTCAACTCAAAATAAATTAAAGGAAATTACAGCACTTTGGTCTATGAAAAAAATACTAGAAAGTAAATTAGAATTAGCTCAAAAGGATGTATTTTCAACTCAGGAAGAAATAGTAAAAAAAAAATCTAAGATCATATCTCTCAAGTCTGAATTAATCAATATAAAGAATGAACCAATAAATACAAAAGATGAATTAGCTTTAAAAATTAATGAAATTGAGTGTTTAGGCACTTTACGTCCTGCTTTGTAGAAAACAAAGGATATATTGGATCCTGTAATTAGAGGAGGTACAGAAAAAAATACACAGAATGAGGAACAAAGTTTCATATCGAATTCTGAAGACACATTGAAAGAATTAGAGATTCGAGGCTATGTCTCATCTAAAAGTCTTGCAAAATATTTTAAAAGTAAAAATGAGCTAGTAATAAAAGAAAATGAAACATTACCAATTATTACAAATAAGCAAAAGCCAGAGTTATTGATTCAAGATATTACAATAGAAAGAGCAGTATATGCTGGCAAGGCTTTAGTTAATGATAAGTATTAAATTCCTCCAATTATTAAAATTGTTATTATTACAATAATAGTAATATTAATTATTTGATATATATACAGTAATATTTTTCATCAAACCTTACTTTCTCATTCTTTGAACTCAAAGCCAGATTATACTCATTATATGACTGCCTCTGACAATTTGTTTTTTAGAATATATAAACCAACTATGAATAAAGAAAATGAAGTAAATTATCAAGAAAAAGAAATTTTTTATCTAATTTATAAAAATTATAGTTATAGTTTCCCAATCCATTATACAAAAAAACCAAAAAAAAGAACTTTCATCTATGAAACTATTCCTTATAGATATAGATGAAACTAATAAACATATTGCATCTTGTTGTTAATCTCATTCAGCTAGTTCAACATGGCTCTTTAGAATGATAGTTACAGAAAAAAGTAGATCAGGTAAGACTAATATCTTAACAAATCTTTTTCTCGATAATAAAGCTAAATATATATATAAAAGAAAAAAAGGTAGTAGGAGATATATTTCTTGTGATGATTTAATAGTTTGTGGTTATCATCTTGATGAGCCAAAATGGGCATTTGTTAGATATATATATGATATAATTTTAAAAGACTCAAAAGTACTTTACTATGAAAATATATGATTTAGCTATATATTATCAGAAAAAATCTTTAGTGTAAAAGCATTTTTACCTGAATAAAGTATAGCAATTGTTTTTGAGGATTTGTGTCTCACTTCAGAACATATACAGAATCAAATTGGCCAATTTTTTGAAAATAGGTGACATCAAAATATTTTATATATATTTGTGGTATAGAAATATCATAAAATCACTACATTCATGTGTAAAAATGCTAATTACTTAGTACTTTTTAATTCTGGTAGTTCATATGAAGATGTTTCTAAAATTATTTGTCGATATACAGATAATATAAAAAATGCATCAATGGTTATTAACAGCTATTTACACAAAGGTGAATTTATTGTATTTGATCTAGATAGTCTAAGAATGATCTACTTGCAATTCAGCTAAGGTTTGATACTTCACTAGATTTGCAAGAAGAGATAGAGTTACGGCAAAAGCACAAGATAAAAAATATATTATCTGCTAAACTCACTTTATAGATTTTTATTTTATATTGGTATTTTCTATTCTAGAAATTTCATAATATATTTCTTAATTGTGATCTCAAGAATAGCATTATTGCAAAGCAATAAGGCTCTGCCTCTAGAAAAACGATGGACAACTATCTATTTATATCTTCAAGAATATTAGTAGAACTAGCATAGCCAAAAAATATTATATAAATAGTATAGGTATTTTGTACCCACAAAGAATTAATAAATTGAATAAATACTATGCTTCTATCTCTAAAAGTCACTTTTGGAATCTAATCTGCAATTGACTCTTTTTGCATTCTATTCAATTATCTAGAATATAATATTCTTTATATTGTCTATTAATAATGGAACTGTACATTATAGAATTGTTTTTATATAATTCAATCTATTTAGTACACTACTAATTAAATTGTTCTTAAGTCTAAGAATTTTTTACTTTACATTTTGTTAAACCTAAAAATTTTATATTATTTGGAGTATTATCATTTCCTAAGCTGTTTCAAGCAAGTCATGCATTCGATAATACTCTTTTTTGGAATCATCTATATGCTTATTGAATAATTCTTGCTGAACTATTTCTAGTTCTAGCTTTATTGTACCTGTAATCCTAATGTTCCTGCATCAGGTTTTTAGGTTCAAGAATTTCTACATATCTACCTCTTGAGAAATAGTGCTTCTTCTTTAGCTTAACAATAACATTAATATGAATTACCTTCCAACACTCAAAGCAAATTGCAGTCTTATTCTTGAATAGTTTTGGGTAATAGTAATTAAAATTTTCTAACTTACCTCAAGGATAAGAAGTGAATAAGCAGAATTAGTAATATATACTAAATTTTTGTTAGAGTAACAAATCTTGAAGATTAATTCTAACTTGCACTGCCCATTGAATAAGATTTTTATTCTGTCTTATAATAGACAAGTTGTTATATAATCTTTCAGTTGCATAAAGTCATTCAAGTTGTTTATCACTATAACTACAATAATTTAAGACATATGATTGCACATATCTCATATTATATCCAAGATAGTTGTTAAAAGATTTAGGTAGTGTTCTATCTTTTTTGTTGACAATAATAGAAATACTAAGACCTGACATATTTAGAATTATTCGACAAGAATTTTTTTAATAATTATATAGTTTATAGACCTATTAGATTTTATTAACTTAATATTTCTTAATTTCAGATTCAATTTTTGCAAGAGGTATTGTAATAAATAAATATCGATTAGATATATGAAGTCAAAGGCCCTATCGTTTAAAGTTAGATGAAATTTTTTTGCATGACTATCTCAGGAAGAAGTCTAATAAATAAAAAGTGAGGTAAATACATTCAAACTATTTCTTATCTCGTAGTTCAGTAGATGAAACTGCAGGAAGTCTGTGTGATCTTTCTCTTCTCACTACACAGACAATAATAGCTAATGATCACACTCTCAAAGTAGTATTTTTATAAGAAAAATGAGGTGAATACTTTCAAACTATTTCTCATTCCGTAGCTTAGTGGATTAAACTGCGAAAAGCTCATTAGGTCTTTATTTTCTCACTACGTAGACAATTATAATCTGACAATCATGCCCTCAAAATTAGGAAATGAAATGAAATATATAACATGCTTTCAAGAGAGAGAGTACACAGATCTTAAGCCATTTAATATGAGTTCCTGCATCATATTATTTTCTAGAACATAATTTATATAGTCAGAAGTTCTATCATCTTAATAAAAACGAAATTTTTTAGTTGACTAAAGAAGACTATATTATTAAAAGACAGCTAGATTGCATATTTTTTGTAGAACAAATGAACTACCATTGCCAAAGCACTGAGCCATCTGCTCTGTTAAAGCAAAAAGATTGTGCGCATGTTCAATCACACAACTCGCCAAAGCAAACTCATGTCAAATAACTATAGAAGTTGTTTTATCAATACAAAAACAATCCAATGAGAAAAAGAGATGCAATGTTCAGGCAGGTCAGAGCAATAAAATTTATAGTTAAAAAATATGGAAAAAGGGATTTATATAAGTGAGGAACTATGCTCCATGCATGTTAATTAATCTCCTATGTAGTTTGTTATATTTAGTTTTAAGCTATATATTATTGTCTAAAAAAGGATAATTAGAATATTAATTATGCAGTAGTTTGGCACTCTGCATTTTTGAGAAGAAGGTTTACCTCCATAAATATTCATACAACATACAAATCATGTCTTGGCAATAATTTTTCCAAATTTTTGATGATCAATCTTACTATGGTACTTATTCATCATATGAGCATAGTAGTATCGATTAATTTTGGTTATTTACTTATAATAATACATTAAGTAATGCAGTACAGAAATGTAAATAGAAAATAGTGATAAGGAAATAAAACTTCTTAAGTGCACTTTAATAAAGAAGACACATGTACACATATCATACATGAAACATAACTACTATAAATCTGGAAGCAGATCTTCTGCCTTTAACCCTTGTCGAGCATGTACTAAATCTAGAGAAATGTCGATTATTAATAACTATGTTTTTTGTCCATATATAATGTAGCATCATAAAACAATTTATACTTATATATTCTCATCTCTGATTAGATACAGTAAAAGGGACCTGTATTTGTTTTGCTTTCAGTTTGGGAAGATGGGTCCAGTGGTTCAAACTCTGAGCATTATTGAGATCTTGCTCAGAAACCATTGGTCTATTAGCATCTTTCTTAATTTTAGTCTTAATATAAGCTTTAGTAAAATCCTGTAAATAGTAGAAAAATATGTCATGTACAAAATAAATAACATTATGCTGGATCTATCTAGTGACTGAAAAATTATTATAAAGTAATAAACGTAAGGCAAATGCTACGATTTGTCCTGGCCTAAAATGTATAACCATTTGAAGCTAAGAAAAACATAACTCTCCTCTTTCGTAATCTTCTAGTGCAACTAAGACACATAAACTATTTGCCACATCATGCTCATCTTAATGATAGTCACTAGTGGTATTAAAATTAATAGCTATTATTAGGAAAACTCCAAAAGGCTTTGGCACAAATGGACTCCATGACAACCTACTCAATTTCATATATAAATCTCTATAATAGTCTCAGAGAAACTGGTTAACACAGTCTAATAATGCCTTGAGACCTTGAAGTAATTTGTTGACGCATTCATGGTAATCAATGTTATGCATACTTGCAGTATTGGAGCTTGTAAAAGAAAGCAAGTTGTTTTTAGTATAAGCCCCGAAATGTTCAATAAAATTGGTCCAAAATTCATCACTTAGATGTGATAGATGCTCCAACATATAGAAATAATAATTATTTACAGCATTTGTTGCAAGTATAATAGCATTGTAGTTATCGAGTTGCTCTAAGTGAACCAATGTTCAGCTACTTAGATCCATAATGCACTTTAATTCCACTATAGGTTTGAATTGAACCAATTCACTTATCGATTGGGGATTATAACATGCTGATATGATCAGACATGCCTTTTCTCTTTGAGTATTAAAAGTGATAACTGTGTCAAAAAGATCTTGAAAGTCCCTATCACTTTGAATATTATAAGCATATCGGAGTTTTTTCCATAACAATCTGAGATGCTGTTGTATATGCTTTCTTTTTAATGGACCATTTTGCTTCTTTAAGCCTAGCCACTAGCTGAAAGCAACCCACAATCACTTATTAGTGGTATTAGGTGATGATTCCTTAATGCTGACATCAGTCTCTCTAATAATGTCAGTATAGATCAGAGAGAGAAAGTTTGATGAAATTATAGGCAACTCAAAAGAGTTACTGTCAGAGAAATTTGCTTCTCTAATTAGAGTTTTAATTAACAATTTTCTAGCCAATATGTCATACTGAGTCTTATTTTTTTTGGTTGATATCTGATCTAAAGAGTAGAAGAAAATACTTGTTTACTTCCTCTCCAAATAATAAATATTATCATTAGTAGATATTTTTCAGATAGTAAATTAGATTTAATGCTGAGATGAATCAAAGATGATATCATCGATTAATAAAGAGATGCCAACATCCAACTTATAAAGCATCTTAGCTTGTTTCTGATCATGCTTAAGTTTGTTGTTTTTGTATGTATAGGACTGTCTTGACAATTTGGTTTCAGTAGGCCATGCATTCTGTGTTATGATGTTCTCCTCTTTTTACTTATTAGTTGATGCTTGCATTATAACTTTCAAAAAAAAGAAAATATGTTATTAGTATGAATTCGATTTAATGGATTCTTACACTAAAAAAAGAGAGGACTTATATTTTTTTTTTGTATATAATTCAATCTACAGTAATTTGTAAGTTATTATACTTTGCATCATAGTAATTCAACACAACAATAATTAATTGCATGTTACTATATTAGATACTGTAATGAATTGATACTATTTTAGCATTATAATTAATTCAACACTGCCCAGTTCTACAAATTTAGATAGGCAGGGGGCTGTGAATAAACATATACCCATATAGATAAATTTAGGTTGTAGAACAGGTTGGATTCAAGAAAAATCTGTAAATATATATGTGCATTATTTATATAAAGTGAATATTGTCAGCATCAGAAATGCTAACGGCTTGACCCAACTTGTATATTTATTATTTTAAAAACTAATTAATTAATAGAGTTGATTGAGTCATCAGCATCCCTAAACAGCATGTACAAATTTAGAATAACGATAGCAATAAAGGGTAGATCCTAATTTATTTTAACATTTAGTCAATTATCATGACTTAACAGTCTCATAAGTTCTACACAAAATTTATAAATTCTTATTGCATAAATTCTGTATTCCCAACAGCTTCCAGAGGCTGTCAGAGTTTAATATTTTTATTTTTTATAATAATAACAATAGTGATTACTTGATATTCAGGTTTATTAGTTTGAATGGGTGATAAAATCTTGACTGGGTTTAATAATCAATGGCCTGCATTAAATTTTATGCAGTGTCACTCTCCTGCAGAATCATTTCTCACAGTTAATTTTTGTTAATAGCTACTAAACAAATAGCAACTAAAAACTTTATTATACATAATCTTATGATAAGAAAAGAAATAAATAGGGCTTAAAAAGACTATAAGAGAGAAGAGTATAATGTTTTTTATCAGTAGTTTTACCCAAATTTATATATTATACAAGGCTTGGAATCTCCAGATCTTAAAGATCATTAACTTTTTTACTTCACAAGAGCAATTATCAAATCTAAGAGGTTTAATTTCATTAGAAAAATGACAAAATGCATTCAGTGTTTGGAACCTATAACCGAGCAGAATTGCTTTATATAGCAGGATCTAGATTGTATTAGAGTAATGTAATTACTAATTATGTAATTTCTCTTTTAATAGGTTTTTTAGATCTAGTGAATGAATAGTATAAAAATAAGTAGTTCTAGCTTTTAAGGTGAGTAAACAATAATGTTATTTTTGCATGTATATTTTTTTAAAAAAAATGTTTGCAATAAAAGGAGAACTTTCAGTTAAACTCAGTAAATAAATTCTTACATTGACTTTATTAGCAAAAACATGATTAAGTAATAATACTTCATAGTGAGGTTGGATGACATTTACCTTACTATTCATGATGGAGATAATAAACATTTTAATGACAGTATACTAAGAAGTAGAGAATCTACTAAAACATTGTAACTTAAATGATTCTCTAGTTATTTTTTCATATATATTATTTTTTTATTTTTTGTTGCTTTGTATAATCATAGGTCAATTCAAAAAAAAATTAGACAAGATCAAAGAAAAGAAACAGGTCAACATTTAATAGTTAGCACAAATAATCCACCAATTAATCTTGATAATATTCTTACAAAACCAGGATGTTCATATCAGCATACAGTAGGGGAGGTACAATTAGAATTGGTATTCAATAAATTTGGAAGGTCTGGCTTTCAAGAAAATGCTAGTACTAAAAATATTTAAAAAATATTATTTAAAAATTTTTCTTATTTGTATATTGTTCCGGCAATATTATTTTTTATAATAATAAAGTGGAGGTCCTGTGGTCTTGCCATTTTTTATTTTAACATGATTGTGTAAATGGGTAGAAAAATTAGTCAAAATTTAAATATATATAAATAGAAGTATAGCCATGATGTGTTATGAAACAAAAATTTTATGAACTTACTTTTATTTCCATAATTAAAATCATAATATAATATCAAAATATGATTTATTTTTTGGTTCGAACTGGTTAAAAATTTATACGAATTGATTGTAAGTTTTTTCCTATTCTTTCATAAGATTATCGAGCCATGCAATACTTAAACCACTCTTTATCATACTATGATATAATAACTCTTTACTGACCAGCCTCTCTTGATCTATTAAAAATTTATAATATTTTCTAGAGTTTTCTTTACTTTCTATTTCACTATGATAAAAACATATATTTCTTTCCAAATTCTTATGAAAACATCTTATGGTCCACCTATTTTTCTCAGCTTCTGTAATAACTAAAACTTTCTTAGAATCCATTTTATGCTTGATGGTATATTGACATAAGTCTGTTTCTGGCTGATAAAGGTGGGTTTTGTTTGGTACACTTACTTGAATTTCTGATGTGCTCTGTATAGCAATTATAACTTTTTTTTGATCAATACGAAAAGAGTAATTAAGAAAATAATAATCATTTTTATCTAAACAGCTCCAGTCATCTCATATGTCTCAATGTGTATGTACTTTTTTGCATATCAGATATTTAACTTCTGGATCTGTATATTTAAAAACATCTCAATATCATGCATTCGATTTAATATATTTCAAAGGAAATCATTTTTTCACTACTTCAATAATTACATCTTTTTCTTCTGGAAATTTAGAAATCTTGATTATACAGTCTTGTGAAAGATGATTATTAGCATAATCGATTTGTGGAGATTCAGAAACTTTAGACTTTATCCAGAGATCAAGCCCAGTTTCTTTCATATATGCTCTATATAAGATCAAATGAATTTTATCAGTCAAAGAACTTGGTACTTCAATCAATTTAGCATACCAGTCCAAATATTCAGAGGTTAAGGCATGAAGTGTCATTTCTTTAAAATAGGCTTTATCCATATTATAATCGCAAATTCAAATTAAGTATGAGTTGTGTTTTAGTTTCATTTATACATTGCATATCCCAAAATAGTAATTAAAAAAAAAATAAATATCGTCAATTAATGAAACCAGAGAATTGCTGAAGGCAGTCACATGGGTGACTTTATGATTTATTCTGTCATTTTGATTTCTTGCTTTCCACATATAATAAAATAAGCTCCAGCCTCATATCTACCTTTTACACTTTTCTCATCATGATTTAGTTTACATACTGGGCATAATGAACCCTCAATAATTCCATAATAATCAAATTTTTCAGTAATAAATGCTTTATATAGATCAGAATATTGCAACAGTGTCTTATTACGAAAGTAAGCATGGTCATAAGTTAGATTGAATGATGCATCTACCTCTGCAGAACAGGACACTTTGTGGCTAATTTCGGGATTGTTTTTTTGGGATGGCTTCGAACTAGATGAATCGGAAACATAAGATTCCATAGATATGCTTACTGGTAAAGATTTAACTTCCTTACTTATTTCATCTTTTAAATTAGAGGTATGAGATGATTGGATAGAGGGAGCAGTTGATTCACCTACTTCAGAATTATTCGGATCGTGAATTTTATTTACAGTTTTTGATAGTACATGATTTATAATATTCTGAATTTAAGTGTTAGTAAGGTTTGAAATAGCATTTGCGCTATATGTAACTTGCTCGATTTTTTCTATCCCTATGCCATTAAAAAGATTATAGATTTTTCTAGCTCTAAGAGTTTTCTGCCTCAGATTCGCATCTGTAATATCAGGAAGTAGCTGTTTAACTTCTTTATATACCAAACTTCTTGCTGTTTTAATCTTAACTTTGCCATTGGAAGTAATCTTACTAATTCTTTTATTATACTTTTCTATATAGCGACACCAATGCAAGATTTCTTCCCAACCAGATTGAATTGCTTTTCGAAATATACAAACTATGCTTTGTGCCGTAACCTGATTTTCACCATCCAGCAAGTTCTGATTACTAATTATATTTTTTCTGGAAGTTGGAGAGGCAGATAGTTCTTGTTTCAAATCTTGTTCTACAATCTGGTTTTTGTCAGGTTGAGAAAGATCATTATATTCAAATGGATCTGTAGAATCAGAATTAATAGATGGTTTAGAGGATTCATTAAGATTTTGATCGTGAATTTATTCATGGTTTTTTCTGATTCTACTGGAGATAAGTCCCGAAACTTTTTTTCCTTGTTTCTTTCTCTTATTATATTACTAACCCTTTCCTTATCTTTTGAATCCAGAAATTCATCAACTTCCTTATCTTCCAACGATTTAGTCTCTATGATTATGGGTTGATATATATCAGAATTAGACGCGTTATCAGATGTGTTCTCTATCTGTTCGGGAGAAATAATTTTCTCAGGGGTATCACTTTGTGCCTGTTTTAGATTCACAGAGTTGGTGCTATCACTCTTGTCAGGGTGACCATTAATAGATGATGAAATAGGCTTCTGTGGAGTTACTGATAATGCCGGAGAAATTGAAGACTGCGAAGCATCATTAACAGTTCGATTTTGCTTTATAATTTGTTTTAGTTTTGTATTTTCGATCCTAAGATTAGCAATTTCTTCTATGATCTGTTTTAATTTGGTATTTTCTACCTCAAGTTTGGCAACTCGTTGTCTCAATGATTCAAGCTCTGATGACATGTTCGATAATAATTTTTTTATATAAGATACACATTTATTCAAAATTTCGAATTAATAAAAATTATGTGCGCCAAGAAAAATAAAAATTCACGATCATATACTTGACATTTATAGCAAATATACATTCGCGTGTAAATTTTTGTTCATATATACATCATTGCTTTATTTACACATTAAAGAAACAACCAGTACAAATAAAAATCCTAATTATATTTCTTAAAAGAAATCTATAAGGGAGTGGATTCTAAAAAGATTCGTATTAAATTACATTTTATGGGGTCCTAATGGTAGAATCTTCTTCAGAAGAATCTTTTTCGGAAGAATCATGTTGTTCAGTGGCTGACCTAGAGTTCTTTAATAAAATCTGAATGAATTCATGAAGAGTTACCAGTATTCCGTTCTAAAATAAAATAACCTTAGGAATGGTGTATAGTATTAAAAGACTGATTTTTGGTTTTTCAAAATTTCTTACCCGCAAAATTAGTAAGGCATGCACAAATTCTTCAACTTTATCCACAGTTTCTTTATGTAAAGGAATCTTAGCTTTTATGATAGGGAGGTAAAACTTTATACCTTTTTCTCGTAACAATCCGTATATATCAACACAGTGGTCATCTAATTATCAAAACACTATTAGACAATAGAAATTATTGAAATGAAATATGTTTTTTTACCTGTAATATTTATACCAAATACAATGCAGAATTTATATAGCTTATTCTTTTTAGTCTTTTTCGACATATCGGTATACCCGTCTGTGGTGAAACGAGCCAACTTTTTATGATCATTATGGGTTTTTGTATCTGTCGATTTCCATTTTCCGCTTTCGATATATGCGATTTCGTTCCACTTTTTTTTGAAAAATGCTCTAATCATTAAGTCTGGCTTGTTGCCTCTTGAGCCGGATACTTGTCGATTTTTTCTTTTTTTGCTGGCATCACTCTGACGATCATTTCTCGTCACTTCGATATCCAAGTCAATTGGCATTTGATATATAGATGCCTCCATAAGACGTGCTACAACGTCTACGAGAGCATTCTCTGAAGCTTTGGAAATTTTATGAAGAACATTCCTTTTAATTTCTTGCAAAAGAGTGTCTGTTATATTTGTTGCTATTTGTGCTCTGTTGATTTCGCCCTCAACCCAGTTCTTGTGCCTTGTCGTTTCTGAAGGTGCAATGACGAATTTGCACTCGGTTTGAATTTCGTTTCTTTTCGTAACGTAATTTACGCACACACTCTTTATCAAAGCACCTTTTCCTAACTTCCTTATGCCACCTTTCTCACCCTGTATAAACAAGTTCCAAATATGTTATACAATTTAGCATGACCAATATAATTCGTGAAAATATAAATTACTCACCACAAGAACGTCATAGTCATCATCAACTAACTGGTATTGTGAAGATCCGAGGTCAACTATACCATTAGCTAACGGGTCATCATAGGTTAAATCATTAATATCTACGTCTTGTATTTCCTTGAGAAGACGTTCATGTACCGATGTGTTTGCTTTCTGATAATTTGTAATTAGTAATGCGATTAAATATATTTGGTTCCCAGTAAAATAATATATGTCCAGAATACCTGTAGTCTATCCTTTATATTGCCGATGTTACGGATGGCATGTACTTTCCAATCTGGAGGTTCATCAGTCTCAAACCTTTATAGACAGAATCGTTAATACATTTCTCTTTGGTATATTTCATTTTAAAAAATACATACCGAATCAAATCCTCATCTACTAATATTTTCAATTCTTTCCATAAATTTCGCATCTGTAAAAGTAATATTCACGTTACTGAACATTCAAAAAATAAAAACCATTCTACTACACTTATATATATATCAGATATCAGATCTATATGCAATATTTGTTTATATCACAGTCTCCTCGTCAGTATCACCGCTTACTTATCGTCCTTGCATACTACAATATAAAGAGGAAACTTCTCGCAAATGGTTATGGCCACTCACCACCGCTTACATATCGTCCTTATAAGTGGAGCAAGGAGGAAAATTCTCGCAAATGATTCAGTCTGACGGGAAGTGGCTCAATTTTTATTATCATCATATCTATAAAAAAAAATAATTTAGTGATAACATGTATCTTAACGATATCTTGTAATGATATGAGATGTTGCTTCCTATCACTATCTAGATTTTCTGCCATTAACTCCTTTAAAATCTCTAAAAGACAGTTACAATCATTTTCTTCCGACTGTATATCATTTCGTTTCCATAGTTCATGAAAAGCCCTAGAAATAGCAATCTTATTGAGCGACTCGTTTCTGAAAAAACTCTTTAAGGAGTCGATTCCGTCGTAAGAAGCCATTGTAAGTTATTGAAAAAAATTTTGAGGAAATAGATATATGTGAGAATTTATTCCATACTACTACATGTGCAGATTGATAAAACGCATGTGCCAGTGGAGGGTATCTATCGAATTTGAGTTTACACATGCATGCAGAATTTCTATAACCTTCCATATTACCGGTCGAATTTCTATGTATAGAATTTTTGTAGATCAGGTTACGATAAAAATTTTCATGATCAAATTATTTCCTGCACATGATATCAGACTCAAAAAACAGAAGCACTAAAATTCAAAAAAATCATATAAAGATTTGGTTACACAAATAACGTATGTGTCATGAATTAGTACCCTGACCCAAATTCAGACAATTATCTCGAGAAAATTTTAAAAATGATACTTTGGCGAAAATACCGTTCCACATAAGTTATGCATAGTGCAGTAATGATAAGCCTTGTAAGGTATTATAGTACAGATAAATTTATACGCATGCGGAATTTACTCTAACACGTTAATGAATTTTCACATTCACATCCGCTACTTTTTTACACGTTTTACAATATAGGTGTACTGATGATTGCATTCCTCACCCGTGCTTCCATCCTCTAAATATATACGTGGCTAAATTTTTTTATTATACAAACCCGTAATGCGTGACACTTGTGTTTGTGCCCTGTCTCACCTGCATAAACCTTAGGTCGAGATCCGTACATGTTGAATGCCTATATTTAAGGGTAGGGGTGACGTAGATCATTTTTACTAGTAATTTTATAGCAAATCATATAATATCATATGATTTACATATAAAATTTTGGTTACGTTACACAAATTTCCTATATAAATCTTGTGTGACCTAGGAAACTCATAAGCTGACCCAGGCAAACTTAGTAATATATAAAGTATTTTTTTTTAAATAAAATAAATTATAAAATTTTATCAAAATAATTAGAAGATATAGATTTATATACTATTAAATTTTGGTAACAATTGAATATAATACTGAAAAGTTTTATTAGTAATATATATTTTTTTATATATATAAAATTTTATTTGCTAGGAAAATCATATGACAAATGATTTATGTCATCCCTACCCTTAACAAGCATTTTTGTCAATTTTATTGATATGTATGTATAAACTTTATCATTATTACATATATATGATTTACTAATAAAAAAATATTTATATCACATTGGCATCAACTTGGGGGATGTGATCTGTACTAATTAAAATATTTTATAATATTATAAATTTGTGTAGAATTAAGCTTTAAAATATAATCAGCACTATATGTTCGAATTCTCTCAATTTTTTCAATTCCTATTCCCTTAACTATTTTTTTAATATCAGGGTCATAATTTTCTCCAAACAACTTATAGATATTTCTAGCCTTTGCAGTTTTTTTATACAAACTATCTCTTGTAAATCTTGGAAAATTGGTTGTGACTTCACCATATACTAACTCTCTAGCTTGTTAATCATTGTACCTATTGTTATTATTTTTTATTTCTTTAACTCTTTTTTCAAATTTTTTAGCAAACAAATATCAGCATTTTATTTCTTCTTAGTAAATATGAGTTACATATTTTTTTGTCTGGTTTGCATTATAGTATAATTGGAGTAAAGTTATTGGTTTTGATTCTTTTTTTTTTTTTTAATATTAATAGTGAGGCCATGTCTCTATCTTTATTGAATATTTAATTGAGATTTTATATAAAGTACAATTCTGCTTTTAAAATATTA